TACTGACTGTATATCTCTGGTCAAATCACTTAACCTCTCCCTGCCCTGGGCAACTCTCTAAGATTATAAGTTGCAGATAATGTGCCAAGCTGCATTGGAAGGAATTTCCTCATGTGGGGGATTCTGACACCATTGAAACCACAGATCTTATCCCTTTCTCTATGGTAAATAAATAACCCAATGGGTAACCTACCTTGCTACTAGAATGCGGGCTGCATCAGGGTAGGGACCATGGAAGAGTCAAACATTTGTTGTGTATGTTACAGTAAACCTGCCTTCTTTCTGTGGGTTAGACTCAATGACTATTCCAATCCTTAAGTGATTCTGTGCCACCATCATATTTCCCCCTGCCCCCAATGCCTAGCACAGTGCTTTACACCCTGTGGTACTTGGTACACTTTTAACTATTCTGCTCATGTCACACACACACACACACACACACACACACACACACACACACACTCACCCACCAACTTTCCCCTAGGAACTCAGAGCAACAAGATACTTCATGAGCTTGACTTGACCCATTGCCATTTCTGGGCAAAAATGCCAACTCCAAATTCCCCTTCACCCACTTTCATCTCTTGCCATCCTTCCTACTGTTAAGCTGCCTTCTACCATCTGAAACGGCAGACAGTGAACTTCACCCTGCAAGATGTATTCTTGGAGAAGATGTCGTTAGAGATACAGAAGGCCCTCATTAGCACCTTCATTGGCTTAGAAAACATTTTTAATTTCGGTTTCCATAAGCATTTCTGACTGATTCATGGAAGACATTTGGTTCTTTGGAATATATTCCAACAGAGGAGTCAGATTACATTTTTTACAAGCCTTGACAAGAATAGCACTTTAGCAGCTTCCAGGGCATTTAACTACTGCATGGCCAGGTTCCTTAGATGAACATAGTCAGTCTTCACTCTTATTGAGTAGTCAGTGAATCAAGGGGACAGATCACACAGTGATTCCAAATTACAGCTGGTGCCAGTCTGATCCCACAAACATTGGAACCTATTATACTTCCTATCACCCAGGTTTTAAATCCTGAAGTCATCTTTGCCTCATTCCTCATCTTTATTTAATATGCAAGGGAATGCCAATGAGAATCAGTGGAAGGAACTCAGGATATTTTGCCTAGAGAAGAGAAAACTGAAGGTAGAAGGGAGAGGGCATGATGGCTGGCTTCAAGTTTTTGAAGGGTTATCATATGGACTGAGGATTAGATTTTCTTTTATTAATTTGTTCCCAGCCAGAAGGAATAGAAACAATAGACGGCAGTTGCGGAAGATCAGGCTTGGACTTGATGTCACGAAAAATTTCCTAACCATGAGAAGTATCCCAAAGTGCAATGGGTTTTTGGGACATGATGGGTCCACTCTTGTTGGAGATCTTCAACCAGATCCTGGATTGCTACCTCTCAAGATACATTGGACTGGGGATGCTTTTGGGGGGTTGAGTTGGACAAGGTAGCTGAGAAGGTTCCAGGCCAACTCTAAGACTGTAGTTCTGTGATATGTGTTCATTCAAGTCCTCGGAATTCTTTCTTTCAATGAACTTCTTATTCATCTGTTCTCCATTCTCACTGCAATCACACTTGCCCAGCCCTTTATCTCTTCTGTCTTATTACTCTAATAGCCATGCAGCAAGCTGCCTCTCCCTCATCTTTCTCTACCCCAAACCAGCTTGGGCCCATTCTTCACATTACTCTTCCTGATCCAAAATTTGGATTCTGTAGCTTCTCTGTTCAAAGCCTACCCTGCCTTCCTGCCATAGAGACAATCTTGTTCCATGCAAAGTACACTGGGTAGGTATATAAAGCTTGGGTTTTGAGTCTCAATCCCATCACTTTTTAGCTACATAACCATGGGCAGTCTCAATTTCCCCATCTATTAAATGTAAACAATAACCCCTGGATTCCTTCCTCACAGAGTCTTTGCAAACTTGTAAGTGCCACATACATGGTAGCTATTAGGATTAGCCTCCCTTCCTCTTCTGTAAAATGAGGGGCACCTCAAAGTGAGCTCACAGAGTGGTGAGAGGAAAGACCTTGGCATACTATCTGACTTTAGGCTTGGCTCCATCTGCCTTATGGCCAGACCCTGAGGCCCACAGGATCTTTCCCAAATCTCCTATGAGAGTTGTCTCCTCCTGTTTGAATGGGAGCTCTTTGAGAGCAGGGTTGCCTGTTTGTCTCCCCAGCACTTAGAACAGTGCTTTGCCCATTTTCTTGTTCAGTCATTCAGTCATGTCCAACTCTTCATGACCTCATAGACCATAGCATACCAATATAATCTATGGGGTTTTCTTGGCAAAGATCCTGGAGTGGTTTGCCATTTACTTCTCCAGTGGATTGAGATAAACAAGAGTTTAAGTGACTGGCCCAAGGTCACACAGCTAGTAAGTGTCTGAAGTCAGATTTTAATTTCCTGATTCCAGGCCCACTGCTCTGTCCACTGGGCCACCTAGGTGTCTCCTAAGTAAGTGCTTAATAAATACTGTTAAATTAATTCATTCATTTATTCCTTAATTCATTGTTTTATTCATTCAAGTTGGAAAAGCTTCATCCCAACCCTCATATCCAATCACTTGCAAAGTCTTGTCAACTCTGCACCGACTATTTCCAACCTGACCCCTTTCCATTTATAAGGCTGCCACTCTAATTCCTCACTCTAGTATAGTGGGATGAAATGATAGACCACTGCTTCTAGGATATCACATTGGCATCTGTGTGGAGGTTGGAATGGAGTGGGCCATGTCTTTGTCACCTCTCACCTGGACTACTGTGATAGCCTCCTAATTGACCATCCTACATTCAGTCTACCCCTGGTACTTGAGTGGTAAAATCAACACACTGTGATAAGACGAGTCTTTGCTGCTCCCACTAGCCCTGAGTCTTTACTATTCCTCTGCCAAAGTTTTGTCATCTGTGAAATGAGAATAACGATGCCTCCACAAAAAAAAAAAACACAAAAAACCCCCCCACAACTTCATGGGGTTATTGTAAGGATAAATGATAGAGCTGGGAGTGCTCTGGAAAGTTAAAGGTGCCATCCATGTAAAGGTAAGAGAGACATTATATTATCAATAAAAAAAGGCAAATGATACTGTATATTTTACAATTCCAAGTCATACTTAAAGTGAGTCATGACGTAAACCAAAGTTTATTTCCCTAATACCTGCCTGTGTCCTATCTATTTAATTTGGGTAGATAAAATGTTCCTTCTGCCATGAAGAAAGAAACCTGACTCATCCAACTTACAGGGAGTCATAGAGTATCGGAATCTCCATGCTGGAAGGGGCTTTGATGTCCATTTAGTCTAAGTAGGGTGTTATTGTTTAGTCTTTTCCATCATGTCTGCCTCTTTGTGACCCCATTTGGGGTTTTCTTAGCAAAGATACTGGAGTGGTTTGCCATTTTCTTCTCCAGCTCATTTCACAGATGAAGAAACTGAGTCAAACAGAGTTGTGACTTGCCCAGGGTCATACAGCTAGGAAGTGTCTGAGGCTAGATTTGAACTCAGGAAATGAGCCTTCTTTACTTCAGGCCCAGCATTCTATCCACTGGGCCACCTAGTCTACGTATACGCAGATAAAACTACTCTGGAAAGAGATTCTTAAAGGTATTAATTCTCCTAGCACCATCACCACTCACAGCACCTAAGCAAACTGGTGACATTGAATCATATCACCTTACATTGAAAACTGGAAGGGACTTTGAGGCCACTGAGTCCTCCTTTCTCCTTCTACAGATGAAGAAACTGAGTCCCAGAGAAAGGAAATGACTTGCCCAAGGTCACAGAGCTAAGAAGCGGCTGAGGCAGTCTTCCTGACTCCAAGCCCAGTAGTACTCTATCCACTGTGCCAACCAACTAGAATAGGAGAAAAAAAATTATCCTGAAGTTCTTGTCTTTTTGGCTGGTGATAGGATCCAGAGATGAAAAATATCTTGAAAATGATCTGGTCCTCCCCACCCAATTTAAAGATAAGGAGACTAAGGTCCAGATTAGTGAAACAAACTGGTCACAGTCCTAAAGTTAGTACTCTCCAGAAGTGCACTCCCTCCTTTGACTCCAAGTCAGTGTGACTTCCAGGGGTATGATAAGTAATTACTACATTGGAAGTAAGCAGCTGCAGCAGTGGAAAGAAGAAGAACAAATTCGTTCAGGGTGGGATCTCTGGAGGAAGAGGAAGTAGACTTGGGGCATTTGAAATTTATAAACTATTGAAGGCAAAGAAGTGCCCCTCGGACGAGGTCACCACTGCTGTGGCACGGGAGCAGAGAAAACAAGGGAGAAGCACCCCAAGATGATGTTCTTAGCACTCTCTAAGTTTTCTGCCCCAGAGCCAAGCCCCGCTATCTCACCTTTGTTACACTTTTGGTCCATTCCACTGTGTAAGATTCCAGATATAGAGCCGGGAGGAGCGTTATAGGTTGTTTAGTAACCCCCTCATGTAACAAGTAAGGTACTGAAACTAAGAGATTCAACAGCTAGGTGGCTCAGTGGATAGAGTGCTGTATCTGGAGTCAGAAAGATCTAAGTTCAAATCCAGCTGCAGGCACTTACTAGATGAGTGATCCTGAGTAAGGCACTTGACCTCAGTTTCTTCAGCTGTCAAAATGGGGATGATATCTATCTTCCACAGTTGTTGTGAGGATCAAATGAGATAATATTTGTCGTGCACTTTGCAAACCTTAAAAGTACTCTATAAATGCTAGATTATCATTAATATTAATATTGCAAGTTACTTGCCTAAGGTCACACATGTAAGTAAAAAGCAGAGGTAGTATTTGAATTCAGTTCCTCTGAGTCCAAATCCAGTATAATTTCTACCACACTAGATTGCCTCAAATGAGATTATTGGCAAGTCCCTATGCAGTTCCAGTTTTCGATGAAATCTTGCTTTTTTCTTTAAAGACTGGGTGACAAAGGCATCTAACACAGCCCCCTCCCCTACCTATACACTCAGCTCTGCCCCACCCAACCAGGTTTCTCTCAGCTTACCCGTTTGGTTGGTGGCTTGCTGCAAGTTTTCATGTGCGGTGATACTGTCAACAAATACAACAACTGGAAATCAAAAGATGAATTGAAATAAATGACACCCAATTTATTTTTAGCTAAGCAGACAACATGATGACAAGTCCACATGTGGACTTCTTTCAGAGTGAATTTTCAGGATCCCAAATCATGTCAGCAGAGACCAAACTCATTATTTCTATTTTGAACCACACTTAATTCACTTAAGCTCTGAAGTTAAACAATCATAGTGTAGTAATTTATAAATCACTGAAAAATCCTTCCCCCTCCCACCCTGCCCCAACTCTGACTTTGAAGTGCAAATTAAGAAACAGCTAAGATCCAGCAGTCTGGTCTGGTGGTTTAGAGGCAGAAGCAATAGGGCCAATAGCATCAACTCACTTGTAATTTATTCTCTTAGAGCTAGGTACCTTAGGCAATTATCTGAGAGATTCAATGACTTCCTGAGATCACACAGTCCATACGGAGGACAGGCAGAACTTGAACCCAGGCCTTCCTGATTTCAAGACCAGCCCTCCATCTACTGTGCCCAACCACCTTTAAGTTTCACACTCTGTGATCAAGGACTATAGTGGGGTAACCCAATAAGCCCAATAAGGTTAAGAACCTGAGCTCCATGACCCTTTTAAGATAGTTACATAGATAACTGCTTTTCAATATAATTGGTTTCCTTTATAATTCTATGTATTTAACTTGTTTAAAAAATATTTCAAGAATGAGGTCTCTAGCTTCAATCACTAGATTGCCAAAGGGATCCATGACATGCAGAAAGAGGTTACTGTTGCAATCGGCAGAATGAGATTATATTGAAGGTATATAAATAAGGCAAGTCTCTCTAAAGGCAACTCAGGTTTAAACCTGAAACAACTAGTTTCTCCTCTGAGCCCCCCTCCCAATTCATACCAATGTGGAAAGAGGAGTTTGATGGGGGTGGGACTGAATATCTTTAACTCCCAATCATAGAAGACCCCAACGTATCCACAACAAGTATAGAAACACTTACAAGAAACCAGAGTCCAACCACTGCTGTATGCTTTCTTGTGTAGAATTCTCTAGAAAGGAGGAAGAAATGAACAAAACAGTTAGCCCCCAATACCAGCAAGAGCAAAGCTGAGAGTCTTTCCCATCCTTGAGCCCTTTGGCAACAGCCGTATTTTTATTCTCTTTCCAACATATTTCATCTTATTTTTCTATAAACATATTAAATATTTTCCCCAATACCCAAACCCTCACGTTTGCTGGAGCCAACCTTTCCTGGGAACGGAATGCAAACTGGCAAAGGGAGGCATGTGTCTTGTAGAGGAAAGGAAAAAAAAAGTCCTTAAATAAATAAATAAATAAATGAAGCAGGGCATGGGTCCTGAAATCAAGGAGGAAGTTCTAATTCATTTCAGATTACCTGGCAGCAGCACAAAGATAGAAAAAGCATAAGGGCCTTTTGTCTTTTGCCTTTGCAATATCAATCGTGGCCCTCACCTTCCCCACCCTAAGCCTCTGCCTACATCATCAGGACATTTACTTAAGGCACCTTGCCAGCAGTGTTTATTTGCAAGCCACTCTGTGCCAGGTTCTCAGCCCCATTTGCATTTACTCCAGGAACAAAGGGTGATCAGCTCAGCTGCTGGATGATTCCAACCTTCAGTGACACCCCAGATGTCAAGTCAGGCCTCTCCTTCAGAAGGAAGCTCACCCTAGCTCCAGCTAATGAACAAGTGGCCCAAAGGATAGGGTTGGGTAAGGAGAATCTCTCCCATTCAATATTTGTCTCTGCCCTGGTTGTCTACCAGCTGCTGAATTGGTTTGCTAAGGCTCCCTCCTGCCAAATGCTACTTGCTTTCACTCCTTGTGAGGGGTGGTGAAAGACTGTCAGACTGGAGAGGATCCTGCCCGCCTCCCAAGGAGGTATTGGGAGTGGGCTGATTTAAGCAGAAACCCCCAAATGTCTGTTCCTTGTACAGAAAAGAAAATGTAGTATATTATTGCTGTAAACAACTTTTCTGTGTCTACTGTGTGCCTGCTATTGCGCTAAGAACTCTGTCATCTACCTGTGTGATCTCGTGCAAGTCAGTTAAGCTCTGCAGACTTCTGTCTATTCATCTATAAAGTGAAAAGGGGCTAGATTGCCACCAGTGTCCCTTCTAGCTCTGAGTCTATGACTCTGGGATCCTAGAAATTTGGAAGAGCCATTCAGAGTCCCACTCAGAGTGGATGTTCTGCTCACTGCCCCTATCTCAGCACCTGGAGCCTTAAATACCCATCTTTTTACAATGTAGGCATGGTTCCAGTAAGGTGGATTCCTTCTGGAGCAGTAGAAGAAAATCACCCCCAAAAACTTTACTGCCGATCTCAGCAAAAGAGATTGGGAAAATCTGGCACCATCTTATCTCCCCCTATTCCAGCGGTCTCAGAGCCAGTGCTTACCTATTTCTGGGATGCGAGAATCCTGGCTTTCCTCCTTGGGGGGTGGGGACTGCTGCTCATCAAGGGGAAGCCAAGCACTCTTAGTAGAGAGCAGAATCTCTCTCTTCTTCTTTTCCAGGCTGTGGGACATCCTAAAGCCACTGGATTCTTCTGCCATCTTAGGGGAGTAAAAGGGCCAACTCACAATAATTGGAACACTGAAGCAAATAAACCAACCATCGCAGGGAGCCAATTTTGAGGACTTGCCGGGGCTGCAGGGAGCACACAGAGTCCTTGCTCACAAAGGAACCAATCCAGCTATGCCAGCTTACCCTGCCCACCTGGCAGCCAGGCTCTCAGAAAAAAGACAGCAATCCAGCCTTAAGCCAGCAACAAGGAAAGGCGCTGGACAGCAAGCCCCTGCCTGAGAGCCCCCATGGCCACGCTGGGTCTGCTTCAGAGCTCATGCCAGGGTGGAGGCATGGGGGGGTCACACTAAAGAGGCCGGGATCTATGTATTTTCGAAATTGGCGGTTGAATGGAGCCAGTGACAGAGTGACGAGAGTCTTAGGGACTTTAGGGACTGTGAGAGTTAGGGTGGGGCCAGGGCAGGGCAGAGGGGACAGCCTGCTTTACTTTCATTGCTCTAATTCTCCCAGGTCTGCAAAGGCCTGTCTTCCCAATAACCCTGAGGTGGTGAAAGTACTTAAACTCCACATTTTACAGATGTAGAAACCAAGGTTCCAGAGGTGAAGTGAATTGCCTATGGATGCCCAACTGGTGTCAGAGACAGAATTTTAACTCGGGTATCCTCATTTCACATTCTTTGTTCATCTGACTAAACCTGGCTTCTCCCTCCCACACTCTCTGTTATATGGCATGCAATGCTTTCTAGCTTACGGAGCACTCTTAGAAACATCTCACAGGTGATGTTTTACCTCATCGGTGTGATGGGAAAGACACATTATTATTGTCAGTTCCCAGATGAAGAAACTGAGAAGGCCTTGAATAGATAAATAAATTACCTGGCCAAGGTCATGTTACTTTTTATAATATTAGCTAGCATTTATACTGTATTTTAAATTTTTCAAAGCCCTTTCCATACACTATTTCATTTGATCACCACAACAATCCTAAAAAGTAGATGTTATTGCTATCCCCATTTTTCTATGAGAAAACTGAGGCCATCAGTCACATACCTAGTAAGGGTTTGAGATAGGATTTGAACTCAGTCCTTCCTGACTCCTAATCTAATGTGCTTATCTACTGTACCACCCAGCTGTCTGTGATGCCTGGAACCAAAATCCTGAGAGGCAACTAAGTGTATTGGAGAGTGTGCTGGGCTCACAGGCAAGAATATCTGAGTTCAAATCAAACAACAAACATTTCCTAAGCGTGTTCTGTTTGCTGGGCACTGGGCTAGGCACTGGCAATATAAAGATAAATGAACTGATACCTGGCCTCAGGGACCTTCCATCCTAACAGGGAGACAGTATGACAATATGAATGTATTCCCAGAAAAGATAAAATGAATAACAGGCCTCTGGGGAAGGACACTTGCAGCTGGCAGAACCACAAAAGGCTTTTTCTGAAGAAGGTGGCACCAGCTGAGTCTTGAGGGAAACCCAAGAGGAATTTCAAGAGGCAGAAGCAAGGAGTTAATCCCACCTCCAACAGTAGCTGTATGATGTGGGCAACATCTTTCACCCTCAGCTTCCTCCTCTGTCAAATGGGGATAATCATAGTACTTACTTCATAGGATCATTGTGGGGAACAGGTAATAGCAGGTATGTAAGGTATTCCGCAAAACTTTAAAATGTTATACAAATGTGAGATGATATTGTTAACTCCTCTAGACCTGCTCTACCAGCATACCCACTCTGCCCCTAGATTGCAGTGACCTTGGCCAAATCACTTTGTACTCATTTTTATATTTTTTCCCCATTGGCAAAATGAGGCTTTTGGATGAAAAAAATTGCGGATCTGGAATTAGGTGATTTAATGCCAATCAAAAATGATTTTATTAATTGATCTGTTCAGTGGACCCTAGTTTCGTTCTTGGGAGAACTAGATCATGGGGTTTAATTCATGTATGAATCATTTACCCTCACTCTGCTCTGTGGGCACAGACCACTGCATTAGCTAGAATGTGAAAGAAAAGGCCCTGGTTTTGGAGTCAGAGCATCTGGGTGCCATTTCTGGCCCTGATACTTACTTCCCTGTGTGAATTCAGCTAGCGTTGAATGAACTCAAAAGTCCCTTAGAGGTATTTGATCCATATATGTGTAGAAGGAGGTCTTCAAGTCATTTCATAGGATCTTTTATGGGGAAAATGGGAGGTTATGGAAGGATGTAGAAATGGACTGCACAGGAAAGGAAGCAAATGTCTAGATCATGGAATTAGAGCTGGAAGGAACCAAAGAAACTGAGCCCTAGGGGGGAGATGGGGCACTGGCCTGAGGTCACACTAATAGTCAGCTAACAAAGCTAAAGGGTGGCGTTGCGCCCTAGGCTTGGGAGTGGCTGTGAACAACTAGTGAGAACCAGTATAGAGCCCAGTGTGAGCTAAGGATGGTGGACTTCAGCAGATGGTCTCTGTCCAGGGTCCTTATGTCTCTAACCTTGGGCAAAGGGAGCTGCAACACAGAGCACAGAGCGGAATCTGTTATTCCAATAAGATGTGCTGAGCAAATGTCCCCAAAGAGGACAACAGTATCCATAACACTACAACAAAATATTTGTGTTTGTAATTAATCCTAATAATCCTAAGAGTATACGTAAATGCCCAGTGCATGGTAGATGCTTAAAAAATGTTGACTTGACCAGTGATTAATTGCGTTAGTGCAGCACACTACAGTTTTTAAATGACCCTTTTGATACTCACAAGGACGAGCAAGGAGTATCATTCTCCATTTGGAGATGAAAGAGACTTCGAAGCTTATGGTGTTGTAGGAACTCAGGATCTGAGCCCATGTCCTGGCTCTGCAATTTATTCCCTGGGCCACGTTACTTCACCAGTCTGGGCAATTTTCTCCAGCTGCAAATGAAGGGTGTTGGGTTAGCTGCCCACTATGGTCCCTTGGTGCTCTAAACTTTAGTCCAAAGGCCTCCCGAGAGAGATTACAGACCTAGAAGTGCGAAGCACCTTAGAGACCATCTAGGCCAACCCCCTCATTTAAGAGAAGGAAACTGGACCCAGAGAGACCTGTTACACAGCCCAAGGCTACAGAATTTATAAGTGGCAGAAGCCAGATTTGAACTCAGTTTCTCTGACACTAAACTCAGAGCATCCTGACCCCTTTCAACTCTACATTCAGGACCCTGATTACACAAGTTTGTTGTAAAGGGTTGAATGTGTTACAAACTCAGCTCCTCTGATGGCAAACCCAACATGTTGGCCACTTTGCCACCATGACTTCCAAGAAGTATCATCCCCATTTTATGAAGAGGACACTGAGGGACAATGAAGTGATAGGAGTTACCCAAAACTGTGAAGCCCAGGTTTCTTTGCAATATACTCAGCTTTGAAGGTCTTTGTTGTAGCAAGCAAGAAAGGGGAGATTTTGTTTAAGTTACGGAGCAGGGAGAGGGCAGAAGGCAGGTGCATGGGCAGTTCCTAGCAGCCCTTTTGCCTTCTCCACTCTTAGTTCTGAGAAATAGGCACCCTGCCCTGCCCCGCCCTTCTCTTTCCCACTTCTTTTCCTTTCTGCTCAGCAGTAACTCTATCTGGCCACACAATGGGCATTGGCCCAGTGCCAGCTTTCATAGCCACTGAGAATGTGTTCTCTGTTTGATCTGTTTTATTTGCCCATAAAGCAGGAACCAGGCCTGCCAACCAAAGCTGGATGCCTTGCGGAAGCAAAGAGCCTAGGACACACTGGAGAGGAAAGAAAGATCCTTTTGTTCTCTCTCTTTTAGTGGCCTTCACTCCAGGGAGGAAGTCAACCTCCTGGAGACCAGGTTTACTGCTCTTTATTTTTTACCTCAGTTTACCTGACCTCCTGGTGCTGTGAAGGGAAGGCAAGGTGAAAACCATGGAGAACTTCACCAGGAGGATTATGGATTGCTAGCTGGAAGGGATCTGAAGGGCCTGCCACTCTGACCTCCCCAAGGTCACACATCAGATCATAGACTTATGGAAGAAAGGGACCTTAGAGATCACCACTTTGAACCCTTTTACAGCTAATCATAATTAATAATAATAACTATACTAACAAGGATTGTAATATAGCACTTTAAAGTATGCTAAGGATATCATAAACACCATCTCATTTAATTATCACAACAAACCAGTAATGTTTAATAGGTCCTATTTCCTCATTTTACAGGTAAGGAAACTGAGGTTCAGAAAGGCTAAATGAATTGCCAAGAATCACACAGATAGTAATAACAACAATAATATAGCGCCTGGAGCTTTGCACAATGTTTTCTTTTTTGATCCTCACAACAGCTCTGAGAGGGAGATATTACTATTGTCTCCATTTTATGGATGAGGAAACTGAGGCAGACATCTATTAAGTGATTTACCCAGAACTGCAGTTAGCAAATAACTGAGAACAGATTTTAACCCAGTTCTTCCTGACCCCAAGGCCAGCATTTTCTTTATTAAGTCACTCTGCCTTTATCTATCCTTGGGATGTTGAGTTCTTCATTTACATCAAGGTCTAAGTTGGAATGAGGTAGCTTCAGCCTTTTCATAGTTTCCCTAATTCCTCCCTTTGCTCACATTCTTTCCTTGGGTGAGAATGCACCAGTCCTTTCTCTGTGTCCAACAAACTCCACTTATACTACAAAGTCAAAATAAAATCAGAATCTCCTTCAAGACTTAGCTCCAATCCTGCCTTCTTCAAGAGACCTTTCCCAGTCCACCAAGCTGCTATTCCCTTTCCTCTGAGATTACATCCCAGCCACACTGTATGCACCTTATATGGATCCAGCTATTATGCCTCCCCCATTGAAATGTGAGCTCCCTGATAACAGGAATAGTTTCTGCCTTTCTTTGTACCCTTAGAACCTAGCACAGTGCCTGACCCAGAGTAAGCACTTAATAAATGCTAATTTATTGACAGTTGGAAAGGACCCCGGTGGCCAACGGAACCAATCTTTACTTGAAAAAGGCTCCACTGTAGAAAATGCCTGGCACATGGTTTCCCAGCTTCTGATTGAAGACCTCTAACGACAGGGAGACCAGCCACCTCTTAATGCAGCCTGATCACTGCCAATCAGAGCTGCTCCTCAGATCTCCTTGCCTGGAAGCTATTCTGACATCAGGCCCAACTTTGTCT